CTGCGGCAGGGCCAGGCTCACAAGGCTGCGCTCGAGGTGGGGCGCCGGGCCCTGCGGGCCTAGAGTTCTCGTGACTCGTCTGCACGAGAAGGTTTCCGAGGCCGTGCTTTTTGTTGCCTCTCACGGTCTCTTTCCTTAAATCAGGAAACGGCTCTTTTCGTCTGATCGTGTTTTCTGCCCTTTGTATAAGTCTTAGATGACTTTAGGTTTGCGCACTTGAAGCGTTGCTTGGAAATAATTCACCCTCCTCTCTCTCTTTTTTTTTTTTTTTTTTAAATCTTGTTTATCCTACGCACTCAGCCAGATATACCACCACTGTATTTTACATGGAGATATTTGATTTTTGCTTTTGGAAGGCAATCGGATGAAGCAAAGTAATTTCTTATTGTGAAGTTGTTGCTGTGATAGGATGAGGGAAAATAGCAGCCCTCAAACGTTTTATCTCCCGCATTCTTAACCCTCCTGGCAGCTTTGTTGTTAGTTTCCAGGATAAGAATGAATGCTAGAGAAAACTGTTGATTTATCCAAAATGTTGAGCTCTTCTCCCATGGCTCTTCATTATTTCACATCTTCAACATTCGTTTAAATGTTTGAATAGTTGATGGAGGTTTTAAATCTAGCTTTACTGTGAACATGAGTTCCATAAAGTACTTAAAAGGATTGTGAGAAATAAGCTGATATTTGTCTTTTTGATTGTTTTTACCGTGGGAACATGTATAATATTCTGTAATAACTAAGCTGAAGATGATGAATTATTGCCAAGATAAAACTTCCATGGCAAGTAAACATAAAGGGGTCAGTAACTTGATTGATGGAAGAATCAATAACTAATATCTTAAAAGTGAGTATTTACCTGATGATACTAAAATGTAGCTTAAACACTTTAATTCTGTCTTGATAGATTGGATTTGAGAATGACCAGTTTTGACTCTGCCAGCATATTCTTTCCATTTTCTATAAGCGGTTCCGGAGCAAATCATGTCCTTCAAATGTTGCATTTTCAAGCTATTGCTTTTGTTTGCAGGATTGCAGAAGCATATTTTGTGTGCGTCTTCTAAGTATTTTCACCCTGCAGTGCAAGTCATTCAGTGACAATTTTTAATAAAGTAACTGATGCATTTTGTTTCACACAAGGAAACTTGATCTTGGCAATTTATTCAGCAATGTTTTTATTATGACGTTGCTGAATATAGGAAAAGTCTTTGGTAGGGAAAATATTGGATGGCATAAGATTTTCTTATAGAGAACCTGCAAGTAGTTTCTACAGCTTGTTATTTTCATTATCTGAGCTTCTACCAAGTAAACTTTTGATCAAAGTTTGGACTTGAACTAAAAATCCCTGTAGTGGAACTCACTGGGATTAACCATTTACATTTTCTTTACAAAGTGGGAAAATCCATTGTGGTTTGATAGGGGGTAATAGATGTCCTTTCAAGGACATCACTGTGGACTTATGATCTTTGGACATGATACATTGGGCTGCTTTTGAATGCAAACTCTAGATAAGATTAAGTTTTTTTTTTTTTTAAATTCTTTCACTATTTCTTTGATATGGATGTCTCTGTAGTAGTGTCAGTGACTATTTTTACTGTTGGATAGTATTTTGGATGATAGAAAGATGATATCTGTAAAATATTTGTCAAAAACAGGGTCAAATGCAGCAGCCACTTGAGCACTAGAGCTGCTAGCAGTTCCTTAGATGAAGATGCATTGTTTGTGAGATATAGTAGGAGTGTTTTGTGAAAGACTTGTAGACGTCACCTTTACGCAGATCTTTGCAACTAACATTCTTAGGATAAGATGATGATGCAGCTCAACCAAAATTCGGGAAGGACGGTGGATCCTACTTGTCAATGTATTGTCCATCTTATGAGGTCAAGCAGAGGCTGACAAATGAAAAAACAATATCATTTAGCTGTCCCAGTTATATTTTGCATCTTTTGGGGGGCTATATTAGGACAACAGTTTGAGTTGCAAAGATTCATAATAAAAATGGGTTGGCTAGACTCAGGTCTCAGGGAAAAAAAGAAGTTATTTCCTGGGAATCTTGGAAAAACTTCTGGGCTTTGATTTTTTTGGGATGTCTTCATTTTATATATTTAGCAGGTTTAATGTTCTTTGAGTCTCTTGACGTTCCCAGTATTGGTGCTTATGCATTATTTAATCTTGGAGCCAAAAGATAACAAAGCTCTAAATGTCTGGAGCTGCTTAGTCTCCAGAACTCTATTTTAAGAAGATTAGATTTTAGATGTATTTCATATTTTTGTTCTTGAAGGTATGTAACAGAACTGTTCTGTATGCAAGTATAGACGCTGTGGTCTTTTCATTCGGGGAGAGTCAAAATGTCTTCACTTGAGCTCAACTCTTCACTTAATCTCAAAGCACATTCTGCATGCTTTGGGTAGCTGAGTAAGAGGAGAGCACTGGGTGGGCTTCACAGTTGGAGATGATGCAAATGGCTCTTTGGTCGTTCTTCCCCTTTGTGGGGAAGAAGGTGAAGCTGCTGGGGCATCCCAGGACTTTTACAGCCAATGTCAGTTCATGTTTGAAACTTCTTGCCCATAGACAAAAAAGCTGTGCCTGAAAAACCTGCTAGTCGAGTGCAGTTTGAGAGCTGCAGTTTAGCTATCTGTTTTGGGTGGCTGCGTGTAGTTTTCTATATTAACCAAAATGCCTTCTATGAAAGGTTACTGTTATTCACCCTCTCCCCCTTTTTTAGTTTGTCCATGTCTTTAGAAAAGATGGAAGTTTTTTATTTTCTTGCAGGTCCTGGAGGGAAAGCTATTCTTTTGTTTTTCAAGGCCATCACTTTTTGCTGTTGTGTTTTAAACATAACTCTTGGCTGTTCCAAAAACATTTTGTATTTAGTCCTACAAACCAGTATGGGAGGAATTCCTAAATGTCCGTTACAGCTATTGTTTTTTGTAATTGTTTTAGTTAGTGATCTTATAAAGAGATCTGTAAAGATACCCTTTAAAAAAAAAAAAAAGGGAGAAAAATCATGTTGTAGTCAGACTTGAAAGATTCCTTAGATCAGTGTTCAGTTTTAAAATCTCGGTGTTACTTGGCGTTCCTTCATCAGGCTTAGATTAAAATGTATGATTTCATCTATATGTGATAAGTGGTCAAAAGCTTTTTCTAAAAGGCTATGGTTAACTGCATATACCTTTTTTCTTTTTTTTCTTTTTTTCTTTTTTTTTTTCCCCTCATTTCTGAGTGCCTAAACTGGTGACTAGTACCTGGTTTGATACTTCAGAGGATTTCCTAGTACATGCCAAGAAAGCACGACTTTCTCTTGACACTGATGTGCAAACGTTAAGCTGTAACACCTTGTACATTTCAGTGATGTTTTCGCTGCAGCTGTAATGTGGCTTATTTTTGTTTGTGAGACATTTCAGATATGTTTTTTGTTTTCATTTTTATTTCATCTTTAAGATCTAGTGGATAGTGGAAATAGGCTTGCATGATAGTGCAGTTTAAAGTTTTGTGCCAATTAAAACTTCAGAAAACTTGAGGTGAGCTAACAAAAGCACCAGGTTACAGAAGATGAATTTGTCTTTAGTACTGAAAATAACGAAAATGATAAAATTATACTGAGCTACAGTTCTATATGATAAGTGAACTTTTTATGTATATGATGTTGCAAAATATTGCACAGGCAATAAGTTGTAGAAATTTGAGCATTAAGGTCTCATAGAAGATAAAAAGGTGATCACATAGTTACAATGTGAACTCCTTTTATATGAAGAACACTTGATCTTATCTGCAAATTTCACATGTTAGATTATTGCAGCTAGACGATAGTATTCCTGAATGTCTTCATCATGTGGACAATCTCCAGTTCTTAACTCGTTTTCATTAAAACTGCTAGTTATGTTGTTTGTGAGTATCTCCAGATGGTAAAATTGCCTCAGAAAAAAAAAAAATTAGGATTGTGTGGCCGCTTTTCTTTGTCATCATGGGTGTTTACTGAGCATATTTTGAGGACAAATAATAAGAATACAGCTATCAAACCATAGGCTGTATTTACAAGTTAGTTGGTGTAACTCTTTGAGTTGGTGAGCTGATGACTTAGAAAAATCGAAGAAAATCGCTAGTATTACTGCAATTATAGTGGAATAATTATTCTTTATTGTATGAATAAGTGTGCTACTATAAAATATCTTGATACCTCCCTAATGGCATTAAAGCAGAGCTTTATATCACTGTAATTACACTGATATTGCTGAAGTGGTAAAACTTTCTATTGCCGAGAGACTTTATGTCTGTTTGTTGGATGACTAAATCTGTAAATATTTGTTCCTTTCTCCACTATTTTGTTTTCCTCAGGTATTTTATTTCAAAAATGTGTGGTCTAATATTGCTTTTGCTGTGGGATGACGGGAGACTGCACCTCTTAAACTACTTCCTGAGGCTTTGTATAGAGCAGCTGGAAAAGTACGCTTGATGCACTATGACCTGCTAAATTTTCTGCTCCTCTTGCACCATGTATTTCAAAATGACTATGGCTCAAGGTTAGATAGCCTTGTAGATAGTTATTCTGTTGCTTATCATTGTTAGAAATTGGCGTAAAGAGATGCTGTGCTACTTGCTCTAGTTCTCTTCCTCTACTTGCCTCTGTAGTGCATGAAGATATGATACGCTTCAGGCCACGCACAGTTGGTATTTACCATAGTCAGCAGGAGAATTGCCAGTTTGAGTCAATATGCCACTGCCAGCCTTCGTTAGACCTCTAAACAGTATTCTTCTGCAGAGAGTGGGTGGCAAGCTTGTGTTCAGTCCTCAATATTTAGAATATATTACTTGTTTCTTATTTTGAAAATAGCTTTGACTTGTTCACTGTTTTGAACTGAAATCTAAAGACGGTTTTTTAATTGCAGATTAAAAACATGCAATGTTTTTATCCTTACAGGAAGGAAGAAACAGAAGCTTGCCAAAGAGAGAGCCGGGCTTTCCAAGGTAATACTGTCTTCAGTAATGCAGTGCTATTTTTAAAGATGTCTCATTTGTACCAGCTTTATTTGAGAGATTTATTGAAAGGGTGAGTTCTCTGTTCTTGCTTCTAGCATTACAAGCCCTTCTTCAAATATGCAGCGTTTAGTTTTTAACTTTTACAAATAACCATGTGGAAGGATTGTTCCTTCTTCATGTCAGTTGAAGGCCTTGTATTAGAAAGTATGGCATTTCTGATGTGACTTAATGGTGTTTTCCTCTTTGTAGCTGTCCATAAGGACTTTTCAGATTTAAAAATCATTAGAGGGATACATCTGTGACTGAACTTACAAATTTTTTGCTAGAAGTATTTGATTTGCTTATTTTTTTCCATGCCACCAATGGATCATGTGAAAGGAGCTCAAACTCTCTTAACTGAACCTAAGAAATACAGATATGATAAACATAAGACACCATTGACTTTACATTTGCTACAGTGATAGGCTTAATCAATTGGATTTCAAACTCACTCTCAGTACAGATGTGTGATGGATTGATTTGACTTGAGTCTGATTTTCAAAAACGCTTGCATATATTTAATTTAGTGATGACACTTTTAAATTTTTTTTTTTGCCAGTTTCAGTGCAAGTATATAGTTAAGTGTTTTCGGTTTAAGTTGATGATGTTTTCTGCTAACTTGTTTCTTAACTGCTGTTTACGAGCCAATTTAAATTTTATTGTGTGTGTGTGTGTGTATAGCTGCCTGATCTGAAAGATGCTGAAGCAGTTCAGAAGTTTTTTCTTGAGGAGATTCAGCTTGGAGAGGAGCTACTAGCTCAAGGTAATTGCATAATTCTTTTTTAAAGGATAAACTGTAAAATAATTATTCTTCACCTTTGCTAGGAGATGATTTCTGAGTGCTAAGATGTTTTTGGGAATCAAATTTGCCTAAGAAAATTCAGTTGCTTGTTTTTTAAAGTTCTCCATTCAGAAGATTCAACGCGGGAGGAGCAAAGAAATGTGTGGGTTGATTCTCAGTATTTTAATCCATTGTGGATGGATGCCTTATGTAAATATTTCACACTACATAAGAAGTTTGATTTCAAAATATTACCTTTTGTCGTACAGGTGAATATGAGAAAGGCGTTGATCATTTGACCAATGCTATTGCTGTGTGTGGACAGCCGCAGCAGCTATTGCAAGTTCTACAGCAGACTCTTCCTCCGCCAGTGTTTCAAATGCTTCTAACTAAGCTCCCTACAATAAGCCAGGTATGTGAAACTTATGTTGTTGTGGCTTGGAAGTAATTGAACTCTGGGTTATCCGCGCATCTATTTTTGTAATATGGCAGTGTTCACTTAGATTAAAAGAGGTTTTTTTTCACCTTAAACTGTAAAAAATGAATATGAAAAATATCGTGCAGCTTTACTAGCAAACAGTGTACAACAGAAATACAAAATTTCTCTTGTGCCTGGATGTTTACTAAGCTCTTCTAAAGTAGAGACATCTGATTCTAGCTCCAATGTCTGTACACAGGTCCACTGTTTCCCAGATACAAGTTGCGGGTCAGAACAGGGATAACTTTCGTGTATTGGGTCTTGATTTTTATTTTTATAGTTATGTATCTATAGTGTTACAGATCTCCATCAGAATTAGTCTGTTGCTTTTGCTATCCTAGTGCTTCCGGGTCAGCTATAAGCACAGTGTTAGCTAACAGCAGAACACATCACTGTTTTGCAAGCTTCGGGGGTTTCCTGATGATTAAAGTGCTGGTAGCTCTGTAGAAAATGACCTTCCTTTTTACGCTGAGTACAGTGCAGGTAATTTGGTAATGTGCTAACAGGTGAGTCTGCTCTAAATAAATAATAAAAATTTTACTTTCTTGGAACTGTAAGGCTGTGCCCTAATGGTGTTACCTTACAAAAAGCAGAGACTCAGTACTGTGTGTGTCAGTCAGCTCTCTCTTTACAGCTCAGGCTTGGTTACATTTGAGTTTATGGTCCATTTAGTGAGTAAAAACATAGAAAAGCACCAGATACACAAGAGGTAATAGCCTGGGGAAGCAATGGAGCAAAAATGTTTCGTTAGAGAACAGTGCCAAAAACAACACAGGGGCCGTCGCTTAAGGCTGTCAGGATGTTATTTGTCTGACTTTGGCTTTGTTAGGTTTTGCACAGTATATAGTTTTTGCAGAACTGGCTTCAAAAATTAATGTCAAATAGATTACAATTTTTAACACTTTAATCAGAGTTAATTACACTGCTTGATGTTCAGTGTAAAGTTACATTGCTTGATAATCAGTTGCCTGCTGTCAATTTTATGTAATTGTGAATGAGTTTTTCTCCTTCTTACAGAGAATTGTAAGTGCACAGTGCTTGGCTGAAGATGATGTTGAATGAGGTCACACCACAACAGGGGGAAAAAGTGTTTTCTTACCCCAGAAGATGAGCATCAGTAGGGGGGATAAAGGGGCAAACATAGTAGTTAATGGACTGTGTACCACACTGGGTTCTACCAGAGTTAAAATTAACTTTGTGTAGGTGGGTTTCGCAGGATTTTATTTATTATCCCAGTGAAAAGTGTATTTTGATAAGAATTCATTTTATAAATACACTGTATTGAGTTATCAAAGTATCACTAACTTCATTATTATTAAAATATGCAGTTGTAATGTTGTATATATGAAGACATAAAACTACGACCTATTAAAAACCCAATGCTCGTTTTTGAAAAAACAAAGTTATGGCAATAAAGATTTATCCGCACTTGTGTGTTCCTATAGTACTACTTTAAATTTCAAAACCTTTGGGTGTCAGAGCAAACAATCTAAAATTGAGATAGCGTTAAAATTTATCTTTAATGTTATGGCTGGTCTTCCAGTGCTTTTAATAATTAAATTTAAAACCTTGTGTAATTTCCTGACAGAAATAGAGATGTGATCATTTAAACAGTAGCTGTTCACTTTAAATAGAGATGCAAAAACAGAATGCTGATAGGTGACTGGCTGCAGAGAGAATGACAAATCTATTTCTGTCAGGACCAGAAACAGCTGTAGTGATGCAATTCAAAACCACATCTCTCAAACATGAAAGCTCTATTAATGCAGATGTTTCCGAAATAAAGGTATTTGGAATAGAACCTTGGACAGATTTTAAAGGTACAGAAGTTTTCCATGAAGCTTGAAATCTTTTGTAAGGCAGGCAGATAACACTTTGGTCCCTAGTCTTCGAAGCCATAGAAAATAGTTGTTAACAATTTTGGCATTTGCCTTAAAAAAATCTCTGTGCTGAGGCAAGTAACAAAGGTAAGATGACGATATCCCCAGGCTAAGCTTGCTAAAGATAATAGATTTAGAAAGGTGTCATAAAATTTCAGTATAGCGTGATATTGTAAACTTGAACCTACCTAAGTTTTCCTTTGTCAGTGAAAAGGAGGCAAGTAACATACTGAGTCCTATTTTTTGTGGAAGAAGCATTCTTTTGAAAGCAAATTTTCCTAAATTTCTGAACTTAAAGCGGACTGGCTTCTACTGTTTTCTGGTTTTGTGCTGTTGCCATAGATGTGGCAGAGGAAGCAATTAAAAATTCAGCTTTATGTTTTTGGCATGGTCACTTGCATTGACTTCAGGAGAAGAAAGGAAGAGAATGCTTCAAGATGTCTGTCTCTCAGACAAGGGGATATTTTGTGCTAATGATGCCAATACGTTGTTAATAAGGTACTATATGGCCTTCCTAGTCCAAACAGAAGTGAGATACTCTGAGAGAACATTAGCCTACATTCCCATTTCAGCGGCCTAGTAAAGCCTTCTACAAAGGCAGATTCTTTCAAACTGTAGGTATCAATGTATCAGAAATTGCCTTGCACAGAACGAGATGTGAAGTGGATAGTTTGTGGTCACCTAGCAATCAAATACTTGAATTTGGGAGTACAAGTGGCTCTTACTGAGTCAATCTGTTTAGACCGTTGGATTTGCCATGGAGTGGTTATTTCCCCCTTAACCTCTTAAAGATGCAAATTTCCCAAGATTTGAGGTGCTGTTGCATCTTTATGTAATGGGACAAATACGGAAGTTAATGGTTGGTATGAACAAAAATTTCTTGAAGAGCTGGCTGTAGTTTAGTGTTTGCCTTGCTCAGGTAGCGTAGGGCAAAAGTTAAATTCAGTAGCCATAATTTTCGTGTGGCAATGGCTGGTTTGCTCTTTTCCTTTTAACTTACTTTAGAAAGACAAAGCTATTCTGCACCTAGAATATTGAGTTAAAATTACTTTGAAGTTGCAGAAGGCTGTTATGTTTAGGGGGTGCAGTTGGGTCTATTTGCAGGAGTTTGCCTTTTACTTTTTAGTCTTGAGGGTTCATTTGGAAGAATTTCACAGATTATGCTGATAAAATTGCCCCTATATTCACCTGCTGTCCTTTGTGTTATTCATTTTAGTATAATATCTCTTTAGCTCAACTTTAAACCCATTTTTAAGCATAAGGTAAATGAAACCTGCTTTCTCCCTCTGTGCCTTTAAAAAAAAAAAAAAAAACCCAAAACAACAAAAGACAAAAATAGCACCCTTCTATTATACTGGAGTTTGTAAGATTTCCTTGGTATAATGATGCTGATTTGAATTCACATTTGAGCTTACAGCGAAGGTTCCCCTGAACTAAATATTTTTTGGAAACCAAAATTCTTCAATTCTTCTTCTTATTCAATTCTTCTGATTTTGTTGGAGGACTCGGTGATAGTCTGATTATGTCTACAAATGTCTTTTGCTTTAATTAACCTCATAGACACCTGTGTTAGTCTAAACTTAAGTTACTTTTCTTGATCTTATAAAGTTAGATGCAAATGAATTTTTAGATAGCATAGGCTTAAATGAAACCTTAAAAAGTGCAAATGCATTCTTATATTTGATAATTCTTTTAAATAGTACCTAGTTAGTATGCTAGTGATACCTGATGCCTGTTTTAGCTTCAGCTAATAGGGTGGGAATCTTGAATCCTTTTAAGAAGGTTTAGAATTTTTTTCCAAAATCTCCTGATGAAGTTAATACTTTACAAACCTGAATCTTGAAGATGCTGTTTAGAATGGGAATTTGCTGCTGCTCCGACAATGGCAGCCTGCTACCAGTGTAGCTAGCGTGCGCAGCCCATAGATGTACGAAGCCATAATTTAGAACTAATTTCAGACGTAAGCAACGTGCAGGTGATCAGAAGTGCAGTGATAATGATAGATGCTGTTCCATCAATAGGCCTTAGCTTTAATACCGTATTTTTACTTGTGCAGATTAAAAAATGGTGAAAGTGAGCTATACCCAGTTGTGGATTTAGCTGCTCATGAGCTCACAGCTACTGGTCAGTTATATCTGTAATCTTACTTTACTGCAGGTAAAACTGCTCTTCCTTTCCCCCAGAAAGAGCCATTCTGCATTTTCTGCCGCTGCATACCCCTTCCAAGAACGAGGCTCTTGTTTTCAGTGTGTATGACCACTAAGAGGATTTCACATAAAGGAAATCATGTTTGGAAGTCTCCTGTCGTCAGTTTTGAGCTTCTCAGGCAGCTTTTATAATTAAGCAACAGGTAATTTCGTGATCATGCAGGACTACCTTTGTTTAATTTCTCACCACTATGCTTTCTAGATAAAGGGGTCTAATCCAAAACGAGAGGGTGGTCAGGCACTTACTGAATTGTCTGGCATTAATTTCCTTACCCTAGGGAATGACGGAATATTATTTTTGCCCTTAACTTGAAACGTGGAGGAGTCCCAGCCCACCTGTGTAGGAGGTGAGCCATCATCAAAGCGTAACTCAAGCAGTTTATACACCCAGAGGAATCTAAAGTTTGATGTGTGCATATGTTTGTGGCATATTTAAAGGCCCTTAGGCTGAGGAGTGACCTTATGTGACCATTGTGTTAAAAGTAATAGGAGTTAAACTTCAAGTGAATCTTTGGAGTGGTCACTAAGTGCTTTCAGTGAGTGTTTGTTTAAAGGCGTTAGTGTCCTATGCACCCAGCCTGCTGAATGTGTGTTTTGTTTTGTTTTGTTTTTTTAAGATGCAACTATAAAAAGGGCTGATGTGAAGAAGATCAATTCCTCAAGGCTTTTGTTGTACCCAAATCTTGCTTTGATTTTAAGATTGTGTGTTTACACTGACCAGTATGGTCTCCTTAACACAGCGAACAAAGAAGTCTATGCACACAGCAGTCAGATCTGACCAGAAGTCTTTCATGCAGAGGGCTAAAACTTGTACTTAATTCATAAGGACTGGGCTGGCTTTCATCATAGGCACCGAGGAACTTCTGTTCTCTGAAGGCAGAATTTGCTGTGTCCCAACTGTGTAAATGTGAGTGAAGTCAGAAAACAGCTGCCTCTGGAGTGATATTGCTGTACCAAACTGGAACTAGATGATGGTTATTTTTTTTCAAAGTCCGTTGGTTTCCATCTGTGCTTAAGAAGAAAATCAGGTTTCTCACTTCCTTCCCTGCAGTAGGGGCTTAACTTTGTTATAGAGCTTATAGGTGCCATTTTTATAGAACTGTATACTGGACATCTTTCAGTAAGGTCACTACCTGCTGCAGCATAATCGTCATGAAATCTAGAAGCCCTCTGCTCTATGAGCTTTTGACTTGAGGTGTATAGTTCCAATTCCTGTTGTGTAAAGGTTTGGCGTTGATAATGGGTTGACAGATGCACGTCCTCTTGCAGCCCTCACTCACAAATACCTCGTTTCCCTTACAACCTGAGGATATTCTTGGCTGTTTATCTTTGGGGGGATAGGACATCTGTTAGTGTTCACCCACTATGTGGTAGCTGCTGAATGGAGGAACGTTGTTAGGGCTAGTACAGCGTTGTTAGAGCCTGTAAATCTATCCAGATGTTCCATGCTGCAAAGACAGTTATGAGTAGTTTTCAAGTGTGACATTTCTACTGTTTGTGGAGGCAGAAGACAGCTGAAGTCAAGTAGTTCTTCCTCTTTCCACAACTTGAGTCTTGCAACTGTGAAAAATGGATTTGGTCACCCATCAAGTATCATTTGATTGAGCAGGTTTTAGTCTAAACAGCAGAGGGCAGTTTTGCACATATGTTCTGTGCAAGCTCATCCTGCCAAATTCTAAATTTTAGAGAGTCTTGTCTAGTGGGGAGATGCAATGCAGCATTTTGTGCAGACAGATTTGGTACAATTCATGAGACAGGCTAGATAACAGGCGCAGTGTGGGCATATGGCTCTACTGATACCTAATCTTGTCTTCAAGTCCTGTGTGTTTGGTTCGTTGTGATGTCATGAATAAAAAGATTTCTCTTTTCTTCCCCTCCGTCTTCAGCAGAAAATCCTTAACCCAAACCAGATATAGACATAAGCCAGCTGCATTGTACAGCTTTAACACAGCTAGAAAATGCAACTGAATCTCATTCCCAGAGGGAATAAGGGGAGAAAAATTCCCTATGCCCAGATCAAGTTTTTCTGAATGAGCTTTCCTAGCCTGAGTGAGGGGAGAGCTCTTTTTATCTGCCGAAGCGCGGAGGAGAAGTCCGTACCTTAAGCCTCTGCCTGGAGTTGGACTCTGGCTTTGATGGGTTGTCTGTGTGAGGAAAAGCAGCCCAAAAAAGGGGCAGGATGTTGTTACAAATTGGTAATAGGATATGGGAGCAGTTTATCTGCTGGTTTAAATTCAGCTTAAGATGGCTATACGTACTCACCCCATTGCAGTCCCGTAGCTGACGTGAAGTGAGCTGGTGGAGGCTCTCTGTTGCCTAGGAGGCAGAAGTCTATGGAGGCACCCTGGCTTGGGACCAGAACTTGACTACTCCCACACTTCAGAAGTGGTTTCTCTGTGCTTCTTCGGGTGTGTTTGCTGGGGGGAAGTGTATGTTTATGCTGTACATGTCAATGGAAGTTTTCAGCCCCTGGAGTTGTCAATCAGCGTTTTTCCAAGCATTACACTTGTTATTCAAAAATACTTGGGAGTCTGCTTGAAACACGGGAGGCATCTAGAGAAAGAGAGCTGTTTAATAAAAGATACTCTCTCTGCAAACTATGCTTACCATCCTTCCTTAGGTCGCTATGGATGTGTCACGCCCTGTAAGATGGCCTGGAAGATACAGAAATTTGCTGTAACAAACCAATTTTTTCCTATTTTCACATATATGTAAAAGAGCATTTCCCAGAGCTCTGAAACAACCTGGTTAGCATATTTTATTGTATTTAATATTGTTTAATTGCAAGGATTGTACTTTCAGCTGTGATGATTAAAATGACAATGATTATTGCATGATTTTGTTAATTATAATGCAATGGCTAATTAAATGGAGAAATGGAGAAAAGGGATTCATGAGCAAGCTTGTTCTTTGAGAAACTCTCCTCTGGTGTTTTTAAATCGATGGTTCATGCCTAATCAATTCATAACAGTATCTCATTATTGGTGGAAACAGTGTTTGGTTTTGATGGGAATTTACTTTCACCACACATCGACCTTGTGTTATCTAATTGCGTGGTTCTTTAAGTTAGAGTAATGAAGAATACAAACTCCTCGAATTAAGGAGAGGAAAGTTTTTGCATATATAAAGAAAAGAAGCCCCGTCTGTCCCCAGGTTGCAGCCGCCCTCTTTGAGTTCTTCCAGTTTGGGTGTTTGCTATAATGACACTCTAAGACCTGAGTTTGTGTAACCATCAGGGGGCTGGTATTTGATTTACATTCCTTTGCGTTTATCTCTCCCTCCTAAGTGTTCAGCTTTACCATCAGTCCCCTTTGCTTATATTAGAAGTTGTCTGCCAAAACTAAGGGCCCTTTTTTACTTCTCTGTAGGGATGTCATCTACTGGCCGTTGGCACTGGCAGAATTCTTAGCATCAAAATATTATTATTACTTCTGTATCAGCAGAGATGTGTGTGGCACTCTGAAGAACCTGTCAAGATGAAGTCCATGCTTCTGCAAGCTCAGAGTCTGCAGTCGTGATCCTGTAACTTACTCTGCATGGCCCCTTTCTCTTGGAAACCTAAGCAGTCAAGAACAGGACATTGGGACAGTGACACAGGAAGGGAGAAGGTAAGGTTTAGGACAGTCTGATTGCTTTCGTAGTTACTGGGTGGATGTTTTGTTTATCTGACCTGTGTATCTAAAGCTTGCTCCTTTTTTACATCGTGTAATTTTTAGACTGGTTAACCAGTCAGTACTAGTCACTAATACCATCAGAAATCAGGCCTCAGCCAACCATAGACTCACTGTAAATGATGAAGTTTACCAAAAGGGAAAAAAATATGAAAGTTGCTCTTTATGATTGAAAAGTTTTGAAACACAGACTCTCAAAACTGAAATCAAATTACATGAACCGTCAGCACGGCGTTAACTACTCTGCTGGCGGTCCTGCAGTTCACAAGTGGCTTCTGCATTGCAAATGGAAGAAGCAAGCTTTCAGAAACCTAGCTTGCTGTCTGATAGCAATTTTAAAAGGAACTCTGACTGCTCTGTTAAAACTTACTAATCAGACCACGCCATTGTGCCTTAAAATCAGTGAGCCCGTCAGGCAACTAGGAAAGCTAGGATGCAGATATTAAGCAGGTATAAATAAGGCAACCAGATTAGAAAGCAATAGAGTGAGTCAGCATCCATCCTTCGTGTTGGATTGCGAACACAATGAGGACCTGCTACAACGGTTAAAAACTGGAGAGAGTACTTTATTGTGAGAAAGTCATAGCCCAGTCTTGGTCTGTTGACGCATCCTTAGAAATAATGCAGCCTTCTAAAGCTTTCTCCTGACACCCAGAGGTTTAGTGATTAGAGCAGAGGTTGCATGTTGAGAAAGGTGGCTGTATTTTCTTTTTCTGCTTTTGAGCTGATAACTGGAAAGGAGAGGAGGATGTGCCTGAAGGACCAGATGAGCGGACTGTTGTGGACTGCCACCGTTATGAACCAACAGGCTAGTTCTTAGAGCTTGGGCTAATCACTTGAGTGCCTTGACTTCTCTGGACAAGCATGGAAGTAATTTAAAGTGTTTTTCTAAAGTGCATAGAGACCCTATGATGGAATTTTTTGATATTAAGACAGTTCTCTTCCCATACTACCATCAAATTCCAAGCAGGGAAAACAACTGGGTTCTACCTAGTCAGTCTCTCCCTTCGTTTTCTTTGTTTCCAAAACGATGTTCCTTATGAGACTGCAAAGGTCAGTGGTAGTGTTTTCTCTGCTGGATTGCTCTTAAAATTTTTCATCAGGCCCCATAATATCTTTGATTAGACTGTAGAGGGGGCATCCTTTCACAGATCAATGTTTCCTGCCTTGGGCAGTGTATTTTCAATAAAACTCGTGACAGCAACTCTTGTTTGGACCTGACTAGTCTTCCTATGTTTGCTGTGTGGCTGTTCCTCTCAGAACTGAGGGTCTTCCCTTGATTTTAAAGAAAAGCTTTAAGAAAAAATTGTTACAGCCTGTCAGAACCAGCAGCCGCTCAGACTCGTGATCCTTCATGGACTTTCATTTTTTCTCAACTTTCTGTTCAAATTCTGCCTTCCCAACTCCTGGTAATGTTCCGGATGAAATGTGCTTGGTCTCAGGAGCTGACTGCACAAGCTTTATTGTTGACCGATGCAAGCAGGTATTTTGTAAACGCTCTACAAAGACACACCCTGATCTGGACTCTGGGCTTTTGAGGAAAGACTGCTCTAAGATTGATACATTGTAGCATCATAGATCATTTTCACATTTGGGAGCTTAGCTGCTTCTTCATTTCTTCTTGGAGGAACAAGTTATTTTTGCTACTACCAAAGAATATCGCTCTCATTGGCAAGACATATGCAGAACAGCTGTGCTCTTGTGAAGCCTCACAGGACCCAGGGACCAAAGACAAGAGGAGGCTAGGATGGGGCTAATGATTAGCTCGACACAGAATCCCGTGCTGTTCTTTGCACCAGAGCCAAATGCTATCTGCTGCTAGTCATCTTTCACTGCCCATTAACTGTTGAGCGTGGACATAAATTTCCACTGGGAAGCGCAAGAACAAATAGCACTTTGCCATGAGGCAGAGCTTTGTGGGCATTCTGGAGGGATGCTTGATGCAAGCCTTCTTCCATTGCTTCCCAAAATGGTGGTCTCTCCTGGCAGATTTCAGGTCTCTCCTGGCTCTGCTATGGCCAGAGCCTTCCAAATTTAACATCCTTCTGTGAGCATCAGAATTCACATATACCCAGTTCTCTTCTTTTTAACATGCCGCGTAAAGGTCTTACGAAAGGATCAGTTCGCTGTCCTTTGCTTGGTGTTTTCCAGAGTGTAGTGCCTTCCTTTTACTGCCTGAAGGGCTTAGTATTTTGGCTTTTCTTTTTTCAGCGTTGAAAGGTTAACATTTGTATTCTTTTCAGAACGCAAAGGAAATGTGTCATCACAGAGGCACATGATGGCGTTAAATTTTAAAGGGGCAGTACTGCACATAGTAGCAGGACACCTAGGTACTGATGCATTTGGTCGAACATGATTTGGAACAGGGCATCAGCTCTAAATTCATGCCTGTCACCTTTGAACAAGGTGATGCTTGCTCTTCCTGCCAACCCATCGTTTTGCTTTAGACATGCATATGGTGATCATAGAACATGATAGGGCTGTTGTAGCTTTGTGCGCAGCAGCAAAAAAAGGCAAAAATCTTCAGGCCTTAGTGTGAACACCAGCTCTTCGCAGCGCAAAGCCAAATTTGGCTGTAAGAGCACGTCTTAAAGGTTTTCAGTGGAATTTCTCCTGTTTGCCTTTGCCTTCCTACACCTATCATTTATAGGCCAAGTGATTTTGCAAGTTGGCAAGGTTGGTTGTAAAGTCCTGAAAGGAAACTCAGCCCTGCTTTCAGGTAGGTTGCCTGCTACATAGAGCAGACACAATCCTTGTAAGGCATGAAGAGCTTGCAGGGCCCCGTTTAGTTTGTCTTCTCAGAGCCTGTGCCACTAGATGGCAATGTGGTACTCTTGGAGTTGGGAGTCCCTTTTTCTTTCTTGTAAAATTCTTGCTTTTTTTGTATTTATCTCTGCCAAACTGATGATTGCACCCACCGCTCCAGCAAGAGAACAGAACAAAATCATTTCATAGAACATTACAGCTGTTGTGCCTTTTCCTTTCTTTTTTCCTTTTTTTCCCCCCAGTTCTTTGTCCCACAGCAGGGTACAGAGGTTTAGAAACCTTCTTTCTTAATCGCTCTCCTTCTAAAAACAGAGAAAACGCAGTCT